CTGTGTGTTATAATAAAGCAACAAGCGGCTGTGTGTTACTGGTCAAAATGAACTGTATGCCACCTGCTAGTCGTGGCTAAATTTTCCTGCTATGAAAATTATTTTACTGGCCATGAAGCTATGCGTTAAAAATATTTTTTTCCCTCTATGACAAGATTTATGTATATGTTTTTCCTTGAATATTAATGACAAACACAGGACATTGTCACTAGCAGCATTGTATACAAGACGAGTCTGTCTCTTGGTGAAACTGCATCTTTCACAAAAATGTGAAGACGAGCCATCATGATTTTGTTTCTCATTTTAAAAAACATTTAAAAAGGAAAAATATTTCACATGCATCACATCTAGATCAACTTGTTTTATTTGTATAGCTCTTGTCACAATACTTAAAGCATACTAAGCAGCTTTACAGAAAAACATGTCAATGTTTTTTAAAAATCGTAATATCTTCATGCCTTATAGTCTCATTTAGCACATTAAAGCTGGACGATAATATTGTTGACATTTTGCAGCGATACAAGCAATCAAGCAGTTGAGGTATGCTATGATATACAGTATATTTCCCTACGTGAGTATACTGTATGTATGCAAATAAAGCTGGACATACTTCTGTATAGAACTTTAAACAAATAATTATATAGCCACATTTTGTGACAAACAAAAATGCCAGTTTAGATTTATATATTATATATCGCTTTATGTGAGTGTACTGTATGTCAATACTTACAGCACTTCTTTAATTCATTATTAGTTTATTAACTAATTCAAGTTATTAATTCATTAATTCGTTAGCAAAACTTATGATGATAAATCTCCACTGATTTTTGAATTTAAATGTATTAATAATTACATGAATACATTTGAGTAATGCACAACCTATTGCTACCATCTCAGTTATTGGCTGATTTAATTTATTTATATCATATTTAATATTTCCCTACGTGAGTATACTGTATGTATGCAAATAAAGCTGGACATACTTCTGTATAGAACTTTAAACAAATAATTATATAGCCACATTTTGTGACAAACAAAAATGCCAGTTTAGATTTATATATTATATATCGCTTTGTGAGTGTACTGTATGTCAATACTTATAGCACTTCTTTAATTCATTATTAGTTTATTAACTAATTCAAGTTATTAATTCATTAATTCGTTAGCAAAACTTATGATGATAAATCTCCACTGATTTTTGAATTTAAATGTATTAATAATTACATGAATACAGTTGAGTAATGCACAACCTATTGCTACCATCTCAGTTATTGGCTGATTTAATTTATTTATATCATATTTAATTTATTGGTATCAGTCGATATGTTATATTTAATTTATTATTGTACATGTTAATTTCCCATATTTTTAGATTTAGATTTTTAGATTTAGATCTTTATCTCAGTCAAGTTAATCAATAAAAAAAACTAATTTAATCAGTTTTTAATGTAATATTAATTAAGTCTTGAAATTAATATCCATTTGTATGATGCCTGAATTCACGTGTTGCATTTCAAATGATTGACTTTAGTTTGTAAGGTTTTTTTTAAGGTATTTATACTGAAAAAAAAAATAGTAAGTTATTTTATACATTTTATAAATTTGTATTATCTGTCATTTAGCATTATACCTTATTATCAGCTTTTCGTATTGGGCTGAATTTTAATAGATCAGTGCATGCATTAACAACTCTTCCACCATTTATTAGTCTCACTGTAGGCTATTAACTGATATCAAGCAAGATAAAGACAAAAATCATTCTATAAGGAAATAATTTTTTGCATTAATATACAATTTAATTGATGCACAGACACTGCTTTGATTCGATCAGCCTTTTTTACAACTTTAGATCATATATGTGACCCTGGACCACAAAACCAGTCATAAGGGTCAATTTTTTGAAATTGAGATTTATACATCATCTGAAAGCTGAATAAATAAGCTTTCCATTGATGTATGGTTTGTTATGATAGGACAATATTTGGCCGAGATACAACTATTTGAAACCAGATTGAGGAAAAGCATTTCCCCTGAAACAATACAGGAAGCTGCTTGCATCAAAGGAAACATCTAACTTCTGTTTCTGTGTTTCCTCACAGGCAGTTTTCAGGTGCAGTCTCTGTTTTGGCACTGCAGTGGCAGCTCACTGGTGCTGCTCTCAAAAGAGCACATCTGCCTGTGTTACATGGAAGCAGAGGAGGAGAAATAAACCAAAGCTCTTCATCACACTCCCCAGAGCCTGCTTCTACAATACAGGAGCAGTTTCTGCAATCCTGTAAGAGATCTGCTCTCCAAAGAACTCAAGGCTAAACACTGTGTCTGTCTACAAATGTACTACAAATACACTTCTGTGTAGTTTTCAGGTGACGTTTTTATAACTTTGTTTCAGCTTGACACAAATGATTTTCGATAGAGCACATGCTATAATGAGTATAATAGTCTGTGAGGGAATGAAATGTGGTTTTGTGTTCTCAAGTACAGATATATAGCATGTGTGATTCTCCAGCACCAGCATAGTGCAAATGAGCCGATGCTTTCACTCACATCTGCTTCTTATGGCCTTAGACGAGCTAAATAACGGTTTTGGAGGACCAAATATATCATACAAACATCACATTTATGTCACTTTAGATTTGATGCGATTTTGAAGGTTTTGTTGTTTTTCCAGATGAATGTGAATGACAATTTCCTTAATATTTAAGGTTTCAAAACTAGATTTATTTTTATAAAGTTAGAGCTATTTGTAATAAAGGTTTCTACATTGATGTTTCCCATAGGTTTTGTTTTGTCTTCTTCTACAGAGATTACAGGTGAACCTGTCAAGAACAATTCACAAAAAGTATTACTGTAATAGACTACTAAGGAATTAAATACAATTCATACTATAAATAATACCAAGATTTATAAATACTTTCATTTAGATTTAATTAAGATCGTTTTGCATCCAATTAATGACAATTTATGTGGACTTGTGCTTAATCTCACAATGTAAAACATTTTGTAAAAACAAGACACAACAAATGGAAAAAAAAAAAGTGTTAAAAGAACCATAATTTTACTTGAAGCATGATGTTTATATTACATAAATCAGTGTGATGAAATCCAGGCAACAATTTTTAAAGATGATTTCAAAAATTCAATTTAAACAAACCTGGAGGAGTTCAGATCTAGGCTTGATTTGGGTAACACAAACAATATTTTACTATAATGACATGAATGAGTTGGTATGCAAATAATTTTTCACTTGGAAAACAATTACATGTGTTTTTGAACAGAGGAAAAGGTGCTTCTATTTTGTTTTTGGTGAATTGAGGCTATGGCTAACAAATTATACATCTAACAAGTTGCAGGCATAACCATCATGCACAACTTTACATTACATTTAAAACAAATATTGAAAAAAAACACTGATGCCTGTATTAAAAAAAAAACAGACATTTCAACTATTTCTCTATGTATAGCCAAAAAAAAAAAGAAACAAACAAACAGAAATTGGCCAACAAAAGTGCACATGTGTGAAAAATACTTAAGTCTCTGAACCCGTAATCGCTCAACAGCCGGAAACCTTCAAGTTCAGAACGTCCCGCCGTGTCGTGCATCCTTAAACAAAAGCCAATCTGTTGACCAACATCACCTGAGGAATCAACAGTATCAAACACACACTATCTGTTTGCCTTGGTTAACTTCATTTCAACTTTCTGTAAATTAGGCAGGACTTAAACATTGTCTTTTAGGTTAAAGAAATGAGGCATGAATTATGGATAAAGCACGCAAACAGGAGTTGTACATAAAGCACATGTAACAGTAGTACGCTACATTCCATGAGTTTACAGCAGCCACAAGAAGACCTGAAATTCACTTTGAAATAAGAAGAGTGTGAAAATACATGTCAGGCAGGTGCTTCCTGTGGACACACTTGAGAATACATGTCCCCTGTCTATATTACCATGGTTTTTGGTGCGTTACCTAAAGCCAGCGTTATATCTGAAGATATCATGCTGACAATACTGTGTTCTATTTGTTCAGTATTACAAACATTATTTCACACATTGCATAAATTGTATCCTTATATTAGTAGCAGTGTTTGGGATATAAATCCTGCCTGAGTCATAATGCTGATTTTAATTATTAAATTATGCTGATTCTATTGATTTTAATTTATTACTTTTTTGTTACACTAATGAGAATTAGATTTTTTTTCACATTACATTAATAAGAATTGAGCTCATTTTCTTTATGCAAAACATTATTTTGGGTTTAATTTTGCAAAGACAGATGCAGATTGTATTAAAGGCTCATGGGTCTAGATCTAAATAATTCTAAAATTATTAAGAGATTTCATTTATGTAAGCAATAGGAGTACTAAAACCTAAATTATGTTCAGGAACAGTCCAAATCAACTTTATTCAGAGAGTTTCAAACCTTATAAAAGCACTGCAGTGCAGAGGAAGATAAGAACATTTTACGTCACGTAAGTCTCAGTTTTTATTTAATAGTAGTGCTGTTCAGGAAGGCATGCAGTTTTAAAACCTTTTTAGCCCACGTTGGACCCCATTCATGAAACAAACAGAACAAACTTTCATGCAAATCATTCATAAAAAACGTTATTTTTGTTTTGCGATCAATTGTGAACATGGAATTAAATATTGAAAATTTACATTCAACTGAAAAAAATCACAAAAATGTGTTCTGGTTGTGTTTCATGAAGTACACTATTTTAACTCCACTGGTATTTAAAGTTGCCATGAAATGGAAATCTATTTTCTAAATGCATGTTATAGATCATTGCCGTGAATATTTCATCTGTGCATATGGTTCTTATTTTTTATTTTATTTATTGTTTTTGAGCTTTGTATCGTTTAATCAATGTCATAACTGAACCTTCCAGTGAGCAGACTTCTCAGATCATCTAGTGCACTTAAACCCGTCTCCACAAACACCCACTTCTCAAAATACAATCAACAACCCATGCATAGAACCAAATTCACACCCTATATTTCTTTTTCGTTAATCCATTACACTCGGATTAACGAATTTACACTACATCAAAATACAGATGAAAAGATCCGTGCTGCATTTCCCAAAAGCATCGTAAGCCTAAGTAGATCGTAGAACCATTGGCACCAGCGGTCTCTATGATCAACTTAGCTCACGATGCTTTTGGGAAATGCTTGCCTGGACTGATTTTCATCGCGATTTTGACCGAAGTCCAATATGTCAAAGTAAATGTTCAGAATGCAAAATATGCAATATCTTTTGCGGCATGTCGCACACGAGGGCCGCGTTTTTAAGATGCTGTGTCAAGTTAAAAGAATTTAAACTTTTACACACAGTGCCGCTCATCAATGTCAGTTCCAAAACAATGGACCAATCAGAAGACCCTGGAGGCGGGGCAAGCATTGTGAGCTTTTTTGCGAATTCCAAATGGCTTTTTTGCGCCCTTAAAGGGCACTTCTGGCAGGGGACGCTATTTGTAGGGACTTAATAGGGATAGTGATCAATGGTCAAATCGTTGCCAGTAACACACACACTGCATCTCCAAACCATTCGAACACATTAGAAAGGCTTTTTTTTTTACCACATGTGAATAGAGGAAGAGGGCTTCATCCAGGCACATCCTGCTGCAGTGACCACACGTCTCACTGCCTGGCACATTTCACACGCTATATACATCCAAACAACAAAACAAGCAGTATGTACTGGACTCACATACTCAAGTGTAGCAGTATCACTCAAAAACAGCACTTGACTGGAGGATGAGAGAAATGGAGGGAGAATTCAGGAGTTAAAAGCCGATTTTTCCCCTTGTCATGGCGTAGCCCAGTTTGGCTTCATTGTTGATGAAGGACATGATGCCCAGGTAGGTCTCGATCAGGAGCGGCCGCTCCAGTATCAGCACGCCATTGGCTCGTCCTGGGATGGGGAAGTCTTTATGGGCTTTTTTCACAGCCTGGACGAGCTGCGTCTTGAAATTCTCAAGCTGAAATTGTGAGCAGAATTCATTTCTATTTGTCTTCCTGTGTATACAGCAAAGTATGAAGAGCTCACTGAAAGGTTTTAGCCACGATTTTGGCGTCTGAGATCGAGATTTCAAAAGATTTCCTTTAGAGCAGAACCTGCAGTTCACTTTGCTTGCATTTTCTTTTGTGTGAACTGTGAAAGTTATTCATGCATTTCATCTGGAGTTGTTTTTTAGGATTTTGTTGAAAGATTTCAAAATTTATTATTGTATGAAATGGTCTTGTCATGATACTAGAATTTCTAACTTTTATAAAACACCTTAAGAAATGTAGATATTTGATACCATTTTCCAAAAACATGCCACATTAAGAGCATAACATTTGAACAATAACAGTAGTTTAGTTTAATTTGACCCAATTCAAAGTATTTTCTTATCAACAGACTCCTCAGGAATGATAGCTCCCTGAGTGAGATAATAATAATAATAATTATTATTATTATACAATAACACTAAAATACAAAATGTATTATTCACATCAATGCATTATTAATTATTATTAAAGCAATAAGCCCCGTGAAGCCGTGGTTTACAGTGAATTTATAACAGCTAAGGGACGTTGTTAGGTACGACGTGTGCCTAAAGCCCCCTTAGCTGTTATAAATTCACTGTAAACCACGGCTTCACAGGGCTTATTGCTTTTATAAAACGGTTATTCCATATACGTAGTAAGGTTTCACAGAATAAAAGAGCAAATAAAGTGTAATGATATTAATAAAAACAGTATTCTTCCACCAAACAATGTAGTTCCTCAGAATCAGTTGTGGTTGCAACGAAGTGGTTGCCGAGCAACAGACAAACGTAAACAAAGGTGTATGTTTGTAGAGTAATTTACAACAGCTTCGAACGCGGCTCAGCCAATCAGAATCAAGGACCGGAACTCTCCGTTTTATAAGTTAAATTTTACTTTACAAAAGGAAAATTACAATACTTATGCATTTCTTCTCTGGCCAAAGTTAAACTCTTGAGCTTTTATTTTGGTGGAAAACTACAAAGAAGCTTTAAGTCCAAAAAAATGTTGGAAATTATGCAGAATGTGAAAAAGCGTAACTGGCAGTCTAAATTCAGACTTTTTTTTTTTGTGTGTGTTTTTTTCTGTAAACCAAGTCGTGTGTGCCTGTGTGTGCATTCATCCAATCATTATTCACTTATTTATTCAATCACGTACAATACACATTAATAACACACAGACTCAATATAAAATGTGCCAGATTTGGCCAAGATTTTCATTGTGTCCCTTGGTGGGTTGATGCAAAAAGTAAAAAGATATATAAATGTTCCCAATTCTGGTTTGACAACAACCACATTTTTACATTTCTAGAAAACAGTGTCGTGCTTCACTCTGAAACATGCAGTGCATTTCATTAAAACACACACCGCTGTGTGCGAGAGAGAGCGAGAATGCAGCTGGTACCTGTGTATCCATACAGCAGAAGATGATCATTTCAAATATTTCAGTATTGATACAGAACAATCTATAAGACTCAAACACTAGTAGGAAGCACATTTACCTGGCAGAGGGAGGCCACCTTTTCATCGGCGTGTGCCATGGGGTGTTTGGTGAAGGTGGCGTAGGGTACGTCAGTGGACCAGGGGTTCCAGCGGTTTATGAACGAAGGTCTTGGTCGCTTATCCCACTGGACACGGATACCGGTTCCCTCTCTCCTTCACACACACACACAAACAAAGTTTAATACGACCTAAATCTAGTTTCGATTTTTTAAGTTTGTTATTATAATGTTCTAATTAACATAACAGTGTGGAGAAAGCCATGGGACATTTGTCATTTGATGACAATGTCAATCAGCAGATTGTATTTTGTGCTTGAGAATGAAGTGTTTTACTTGTTGAGGGATTTTGGGGGAAACTCAAACTCGCCGACCGAGATCGTGTCCACAGCGTTCAGGGAAATTCTTATGACCTGCTGACACTGGAGGTTTATGAAGTCATATTTGCACACCAACAAAGACCTGTAACAGACCAGCAGCTCATTCAGAACCGGTTTCCTGATACTAACAGTTAAACATCCATTCCGGTGAAAACTTACAGTACTCTCTTACCTCTCAGTTATAAGAACCAGTCTCTCTTTTTCATTGTTCCAGTGATCGATTCTGTGGTCAAATATAAAGAGGACATGAAGCCGGCTGAACAGACATCCGTCAAATTCTGCTGCATAACATACTGGAGAGGTACCATGGTACAGTGATGTTATGAGATATTAGTATCACGGTACTTTGATGGATGCCATATTACTGACAGCTATTACAATTAAATCCCATGGTATTTACATAGTAATCCAAGGTAAATCAAAAGGATGCCATGGTTCTCCCATAGTACATGAAAAAAAAAACACCATAGTATTTCCCAAAAGCCATGGTAGTCCCAAGGTATGTTTTTGTGTAAAGGTTGCAATCAATATCCACTGAAGGCCCTTCTGTTCATTTAGAAATTCATGCAATAAAAGTGATATTGTGCTAAGAAATGGCAATAGACTCACTCAGCTAGCAGCCACACGCTAAGAACCTCTCCGTCTTCTGAAGGCAAGGCAACCGTGCGGATATCATTGACTGCCTGCTCTATGGTTCCTGGCTGAGACCAGAACAAAAAGAGCACCTAATTTAGATGCTTGAAACAACATTAAATGGATGTCCAAAAAAAACAACGTATTTCTACTGTGTAGTTAAAGTCCGTATAGGCCAGTGGTTCTCAACTTTTTGACTCCCAAGGCCTCCATTCTCCTCAAAAATAATTTTCACTCACAATTTCTTCCTTGTAAAATGTTTTGGCATACCTAGAAAAATGCATATTCAAAAAAAAAAAAAAAAGGTATAAAACTTCCCATTAAGTTGTAGTATTTTATTAATTTATATTACCTATTCAGGTCAAGAAAACACACCTTTATAATTACAATCCCTCATATTTTAAGGAATTCCTAGACACTGAAAATCCTGGTTCTTTATAGAAAAAAAATAGAAAAAAATTTGTTGAAAGGTGAATTAAAATAAGACATTTCCTGATTTTTAGTTGATTTTGCCGCGTCTCTTGTCTTATTTTAAATCTTGAGTCCCTCTATCGGGACCCGGCCCCTGGGCTGAGAACCACTGCTATAGGCCACATAAACAGATGACAACAGCTCAAGATCAAACACAAAAGCATGATACCACACTACTCCCATTGTTTGTAATGTACATCACTGCATGGGTCTCATTTACCAAACAATCATATGTGGATTGGAGTGTAAAACCTGTGTACAAACATGCAGAAAGCGTGATGCGTCAAATGTATTAAAATGCATTCTAAATTTATGATAAAATTGAACCGACTGAAACCACACATACACAAAAATAAATAAAATAGCATGCTGTTCTTTGCTTTTATATTTATTCATTTAGCAGACACTGTAATATAAAGTGACTAAAAGCAGCACTATGTAACTTTTGGCGCTCTATCGGTTAATAAACAGAACTGCACACATCCCGCGGAAGAACATTCCAACCGGAGCTACTTCTCTAAGTTTATGTCTCTGGCGATTCACGCAGGTATGTGTTACTCCGCAGCGGTGACGACCCGACCAGACTACAATAGTCCTAATATAAGTACTTATTATAAGTGTACCGGAGTGATTCAGAATAAGACAAAAACAATGAATTCGTGATGTACTCGCTCATTATATACATTTTGCAAATTTTGAACACAGAAAAAGTTACATAGTGCTGCTTTAAGTGACAAACAAGGAACATCACAAACCAGAATATAAGTTAAAGGAAGAAGCATTTTATCTATATGGGTAATAATGTTTCAGGTGGTTGTGGAGGTAGTGAATGACAATTTATTAGAATTATAACATTTACATCATCATAATTCTAAAAATAAAGAAAGTCTAATGAAATCCCTGTTGAAAAAACCAGCATATGCTGGTTAGGTATGTTTTGATGCTGGTTTAAGCTGGTCCTTTGCTGGTTTATGCTGGTCCTTTTGCTGGTTCTTTTCCAGCAC